AAAGAAAATAGATATAATCCTATATAGAATTATATGATATGATAGATAAAAAAAGAAGAAATAGAGTTTAGTTATAACAAAATGGTATATGGTAGGTGTAAAGGGGGGGGGGGGGGGGAAGAAAAATGATAGGTTATGTTGGGGGGGGGGGTTATATCGGATTTTAATTGTGATTGTTTGTTCTGACATTTCTCCTCTCCACTCCTCCTACCCTTATAGTATTTTAGCAGGTGACTCATATTTGTTGCTTTATTTCAACCTCTCTTAATTGGAATATTAACTCTCCACTATTATTATCATGTTGTAGTTATCATATATATATGGCACAAGACAAAATTGGCATTTCTTAGGCCTCATTTTTTATAATCTTCAAAATTATATGAATAATTTTTTTAAATTTATTATATTTTTACAATAATTAATTAATTGTGGTGTAAAATTATTATATATTATTGGTAATTTATTTTAAAATATAAGATTAACATTAAAAGAGATAACCCTTAAAATTAAAAAGAGTATGTGCTAGTTAAAAGAGATAAAGGCGCATACTCCTTAATATATTATGAAATATTTTTCAATATCTTTATAAATAATATCTTATTATATTATCAGATTTTATTATGTTTTCAAAATATTATGATATAATAACTGTTTATCTAATACTTTTAAGATAGTATCATATAATAATTTAAAAATATAATACTTGATTATTTTTAAGTAATAGATTTTATTTAATTTATTTATTTACTTTGGAGTTTTCTCATGATGAAGTATCATTTAGTTAGGAATACAATACGGGTTGTTATTTTGATTTTTATATTTGTGACTCGACAAAAGCATTTAGCTAGTGGACATTTATATTTTTTTTTGTGATTTGGACACTTATATATGATTTAATCAAATACATGTGTGAATAATTTATTAAACCTTATATGTAATTAATTATGTAAAGTAAAAATTTATCTTAAAAAATAAAGAATTATTTTAAGTGAGTTTGAATGCATATTTAGTAGATTGTTTGTAAAGTAATAAAGTAATAAGCTAAGAACACCCTTATGCTTAGTATAATTGATTATCCAATCACTTGCAGTGCATTTTATCAATCACTCAAGACAATGCATTATCTTGATTTGAATTGAGTGTATGATTTGTTTAATAATTACATCTAGATAATTATGTCTTAAATGTTTGGCACAAAGTTATATATGCTATGCATAATACGAATAAGGTTCTGAGATGTATATTTTTACATACACCTACATTTTGATTTCAATTAATTTAACTTTCAAAAATATTCCGATATTTTTTCTACAATATAGATACTTTAACTAAAAAAAAATCTTCGAACTTTATCAAGATATATACATTCATGAGTACAGCAAATATATAAAAATAAATATCATAATGAATTTATCTTATATTTATTAAAGTTAACTAAATATTTTTTTACTGACTTCTAAAACTTCATAAATTTAATATATAACTAGTACGATAATTAGATCTTTGATGGATGGAGTTCTGACCTATAATTAACGTCCATGAATATCTTATATTTTCTAAGGATAAATAAAAGACAAATAAGAACTAAAAAAGAATATGCGATACAAACCAAACATATATACAAGACTTAAACTATTTCAATCATATAAAATTGCAAACAACAAAAGTAACTATTACAAAAGTGTTTACTCTTAAATGAATCTCTCTGTAGAATGTAGAAAAGGACAATCATCAAGCAAAGTTTATTAATCAACGGAGAATTTAAAACCAATTTTACAGATACATGTCTTTCATGAACTAATTTAATTTTTTACTCTCCTACAGGCGAGGTATTTGAATCACATACCAATCCATCACGGTGACCTTGCATGTCAAGCATTTCATCAAGTCGGTTCAGTCTATCCAATCCCTCACTAATCAAGAAACGGATCCTTTGCTTGTCATTGCAGTTTCTATTATTTTCCATCTCTTGTCTGATTGTCTGTTCTCAGTTCAACTGCACAGTCCATTACATCAACCAATGTCATAAAACTTACATGCATGTATCAATGAACTGGAAATTGCTTTTAACAGTCAATCTTAACACCAACCAAGTATTTTTGGTGTAAAAGAAATCAAATAAAGTGAGGGACAATCCATTCCTTTGGACCAACCTGAACTATGATAGATAAACTCATATACATCATCCACATTTATATATTATTCGTACCCACAAGTAAAAATGTATCTTACTTCTTTTCTTTAATATGGGAAGACTTCTACGCTATTGTCCGTATCCTACCGTCTCAAACCCGAGACATCAAGGACTCATGCCTTGATTTCTGACCAGATACCGAGTCTGTTTAGACACAGGTTTTGAGAGTTTTTCAACTGAAAAAAGTTATGTATTTCTACTAGGAGAGGCTCTCAGAAACTCTTTAGCTTTGTATCCAAACAGACACTAAATAAGCGATAGTACATTTTTGTAAGAAAATAAATAATTTCTTTATGCAGTTTCAGTTGTTATCCTAGTTTTGAGGAGATTTTTCTTCAAGTAGCTTAGTTGTTTTTAAACGCTATAAAAGGAAGTAAGCTTCAGCTTATGTAGTACTGGGTTTGTTCCTATTGATATGGTATGTTTTCTTTTGCACTAGCTTGTCTAATAAGCATCAGTCATTAAATCTGAATAACAGAGATTCGAATTTCTCATAATGTTTTTTTTTTCTTTCAGTTATAAACAATTTGCCTGTGTACCCCACAAACGGCACAACACTCAGAAAGTTTCACTGGAATTATAAAGGTGTGGACCAAAACTATGCTTTCAATTTTACCAACATCAATTACAGTTCAGAAACACACCTTCCTGAATATTTGTTAAAATTTCACTATAAAACTATAAATACATCGTATATACACATCACAAGAATCGTTGATCTGTATAAAGGAATGAGCCATATAACTAAGAATATTCACCTCTGGCAGAAGAAGGGGCTCGACCAGAAATTCTCAATGCTTGTCTGTAAAGCCTCAAGACCCGAGCACGGAGAAGGAAATCCTGCAGGTCCATGGAGAGAGAGAAACTATCCAGCCTCTTCCTAAACGGGTTGCCATTTCAGAAAACAACAAAAAAAGTTATGAGAATAACACATTCGGATGCAGAGTATGCATATTTTTTCATAACTCATGACTATTTTCATATATCAATTACCAAGTATAACCTGCGATGGCTACAGGTAAGGTAAGAACCTAGCCAGGGATGAAGAGTTTAATGACAGAAACTGCAACTTGGTGAAACGGGTCAGAGAGGATTAAAATCACCCAGGGCGACCTGAATACAGAGAAAACAACGTTAATTTCATTTTTCAAATCACAGTCTACAAGAATTGGAAAGCATCATTAGCACACTTTCACAAACAGTTGGTGTGCGTTTCAACGTTCGTGGCACTGCGAGAAATGATCGCATGAAATTGGCGGCAAGAGATAAGCCACCGAAATTAAAATGGGACTGAAAGGTAATGTAACAGTACAAGTTGTTTTAATGTAAGTTTTAACAACAAAAATACTGCAACTGTCTGTTCTCCTTCTCGCATGCGATACCTCTGTCGTTCATGCAAGAGTTTATTTTCCTGGTCTTGTAGATGCGCATTTCAAATGTGGCATTTCGCTTTCTGCACCCAATAATTACCATGTGCACCTCCAAAATTTTTTAAATGACATATTATATTTCATGGTTTATTTCATCTAATAAAAACCATTGTTTTGAAATACTTATTATCGGAATACCTATCCTAAAATTTGTAGAACAAACTTTCCATAATATTATATATAATTCCCTATTACAAATATAAAATATGCTTTGAATTGAGCCAATCCATTATCTCTATCATATTACACAATCCAATAATTTTTATATTAAAATCAGAAGGTTAAAACAATCAAATTACTGCAGGATGGGTATGTAACAAAAGAGAGGGGGTGAAAAAACGAAGAGAAATACAAAGAATGAATATCAGAAAGATCCAGACTTAGAGATAATTATAATTTAAGGGTATTTTTCCTTATATTATTGCCAATATAATAAAGGCCTTGTTATGTAGGGGAATTTCGGGGATTTCTTTCTGCACCCCCATAATTTCTTATTGCACCCAATAATAAAGGTGAAAGTCAAAGTTATCTTCATCTTCTTTCCCTCTCCTTTCCTATTGCACCTTCATACTTTCCTCCATCTCCATTCCATTTTCTTCTTCCATCTCCACCTCCACCCTAAAAAACATTCACAAGTATCTATTAAAACAAATGAAAAAATCATGCAAAATTATATTTTAGATTGTACAATGTAATATTGTATTACATATTATATAATTTTAAATTAAAGATTAAATAATTTCTAATATAAATTACACTATGAATTGTTTTTCAAATTTACATTATAGAATGTATAATTTAAAATATAATTTTGTATTACAAATTATTTAATTCAAAATGTAATTTACATTTTAACTTATAATTCAAAATATAAATTTATAATATAGATTATACAATCCAAAATTTAAGTTTGCATTATATATTATAATCTAAAATATCTATGGATTGAACACTGAAACTATAACTACAACAACGAAATATAAATAGAATTTTAAAAAATATAGAGAACAGATAAAGTCAATAAAATTCACTATTTAATGATTTAACTATGATTTTTCCCAAATGGCAAATTTGTCGTGAAGTTAAAAATTGACAAATACACTCTCGATAAGACACGTGTAATACCATTCTTCAACATTGACTCTAATAGTTGTATTCACTGAATGTGGTTAACAAGAAATAGAGAAAAAGAAAACGGTGAGGAGAGAAAAGAAGTCATATGCCCTTTTAAAAAAAAATTAAGTGCAAAAAAGGGAAAGGAAAAATATAAAATTATACACCCATATACCATTATTTCCTTGCTACTATTTTTTTATTATTAAGGGTAAAAAGGTGATTTAGTTAATAGGGATACTATAACGTAATCGTTCAAACAAGCTTACGATTCTACAAAATATAGGAAAAAAAAATGCAGTTCAGAAATTAAAATGTGTATAGAGGAAATTACAATTTTGCCTAATTTTCAGTTAAAATGACACTTAATCTATTTTAATTGTTTGTTTTTTAAAAAAAGTTATTATTTTAGTTGGAATACACGGTTTGTACGAGTATAGATTAAAAAATATACTTGTAGTGCTTACTAAAAGTTACAAATAATATTTCAAAGAAACAAACGTGTTTTCAATTTTTTTATTATTATTAAAGATTCACTTCTCTCTTTCGTCATTTTACCGCGGAAAAAATAGTTAGTATCTACTATTATTATTGTTTATATAACATAAACTGTCGTATTTGGCATGCACAATTGTTTCAACTCTCCACGTCCCTCTCATCCTCGTCAACTACACAGCATTGGGTTGGTAACCTTTTTCTGCTTGTCTTAATTTTTTTATCTTTATAATATATACACACTCACAAGTTGACAATAGAAAAATTACAAACCGTCTGAACAAGCTCAACATAAAATAAACAATCCAATAAATATTTCTCTAATTTTAATTTAATTTTCCTAATGTTTATTTTTTTCCAACCCCTTAAACTATAATTCGACCACCAAATCAGAAAAATAGTTTAATGTATCACGTTCACTTTTCCTGCCACGTTTATGCAGCCATGGAAAATACAAAGTTTGTCTTATTTCACCAAACCATGTGTTCATCGCTATCTAAACATGTTTGACCCACTTGTCGTGTTTAGTGATTAGATCAAAACTTCACAAGCCAAATCAGCTCGGATTAACAAGAAGTTATTTTATTTTTAACTTTTGGTTTGACTCAATATGAGTAACTTACAGAAGGAGATACCTTTTTTCTGAAAGTTTTTGAAGGATTAAAGTGCTGAAATTCAAATGACTCGAAAGTCGAACGTTTGTTTGATACGAAGAAGAAGAAAAAAGCCGTCTGCGTTATTTGCATATGTTAGGAAGGAGACATTAAAAGTGACATATTGTGAGTTAAATGCGTGTTTATGTTGTTGTCACCCAAAAACGGTGTGTTTCGTTTGTCTTTCCTATGTTATCAGTCACAGCGATTTTATTTGACCAACCATTTCAGTATCTTACTCTCCCACCTTTATTGACAATGTCAAAAACAAGCTAACCTTCACACGTCTGTGATAACTTACGGTTTTCTCTGCCAAATTTCCTTTGGCGGATATAAATACGACACAGTCCCTCCTGATTCCAACAATTTTTTCTTCACATCTCGCAGATTTGAATCCATGGAGAAAGAGAATAAACAGTCAAAGCTGAAGAGCAGGATCTTGAAGATACTGCCAAAAGCTGCAGCGGCAGTCACATTCCAAAACCTTCCCTTCAGCCCTGGCCGGGATCACAAGTTCAAGAGCCATGGCGGAAAAGGCTTCTTCTCTGGCCCCATGATTCCCGACGAGGCTAGAAGAAAACCCAGGGATGGCGGCGTCGAAACTCAAGAGCCCACATCGCCCAAAATCTCCTGCATGGGACAGATCAAGCACAAGAAAAAGCACATTAAAAAGGGAGGGCCGAAGACCATGTCGATGCCCACACGCGCTGCAGAAACCGCGGATTCCACCACTCCCAGAGACGCCACGGAGGAAAAGAAACGGGCTTCGAAGTTTCAGAGGATGTTGTTCAACACGGGGAAACCGAAACCTGCGGCGAGGAAAAAATCTGATGCGGGCGACGACAGAGCGCCGCCGGTGGGTCACATGAGGCGATTTGCAAGTGGGCGTGAGACTTTTTCGAATTTCGATTGGAAGGCCCAGATTGCGCCTGATGAAAGGGATTGCTATTCGGACAACGATGATAGAGTGGAGAGCGATGCAGAGGACGAGGTGGTAATCCCTTTCTCTGCTCCTCTGACGGCCGGTGGTGCTCCCATGCTGAGTGTGCAGCCTCGGAAAGAAATTAACCTGTGGAAGAGAAGAACAATGGAAGCACCTAGGCCTCTTCAGTTGAATCCTGTGCTTACTGCCAAATAATTCTTTGCTTATTCAGATTTTTAGGTTTCTTTTTATTCATTTCTTTCATTCTCTAAACAAACACTGTTCTTGGTGTTCATGAACATGTATTTTGTTTCCTTCTTCTTCCATCGTTGTGTATAGAAAAGATGGTTAATCATAAATCATGGTATAGCGGTCACGATTCATTTGATTTATCTTACCTATTCTATTTACTTTCTGTACGAAGAAAATATGTATAAAAAATTATATATTCAAAGTGGTTGCTGGGAAAATTTCAAAACAACAAAATTAATGAAAGAAAAAAAAAAGTGTTCAAGGTTAGATAGTTGATGGAAGGAAGGAAGGGGTTGGTGGTTGTATTTTCTTAAATATGTCCACCGACACTTTCGATAATAACTCCTTTATTTTTTATTTTCACTTGATTATTTTCAGAAAATTAATATATAATTTGTAAACATTTATTTCTTCGCTGGTAGTTATTTAAATATCAGGAGGCACGTGAATTTGTAATTGATGAAAGAGGAAATTATTGTGATTTTAAATTAAGATGATAGAAATAAGTACAATTAGGTTTTCTTTTTAATTTGAGGAGCCAGTTTGACCAACTATTATATTTTAAAAGATGAAAGTGATTGTTAATGGGCAATCTAGATACTATTCTATTAATTTTATAGACTAACTAGATTGATTGTTATAATTTCAAGATGTAAATTGCCAAATCTGAAATATTGTTTGATTAGTTTCTGCTGTCAAATCATTTCATGTTTATTCTACTTCCATTTGGTTGAATGTGTGGCTGCTAAGGTTTTCAAACCTGAGATTCTTTTTCTTGAATACCAAACTATCAAAGTACAATTTATTCATTGTTAAAATANAATCATGCAAAATTATATTTTAGATTGTACAATGTAATATTGTATTACATATTATATAATTTTAAATTAAAGATTAAATAATTTCTAATATAAATTACACTATGAATTGTTTTTCAAATTTACATTATAGAATGTATAATTTAAAATATAATTTTGTATTACAAATTATTTAATTCAAAATGTAATTTACATTTTAACTTATAATTCAAAATATAAATTTATAATATAGATTATACAATCCAAAATTTAAGTTTGCATTATATATTATAATCTAAAATATCTATGGATTGAACACTGAAACTATAACTACAACAACGAAATATAAATAGAATTTTAAAAAATATAGAGAACAGATAAAGTCAATAAAATTCACTATTTAATGATTTAACTATGATTTTTCCCAAATGGCCAATTTGTCGTGAAGTTAAAAATTGACAAATACACTCTCGATAAGACACGTGTAATACCATTCTTCAACATTGACTCTAATAGTTGTATTCACTGAATGTGGTTAACAAGAAATAGAGAAAAAGAAAACGGTGAGGAGAGAAAAGAAGTCATATGCCCTTTTAAAAAAAAATTAAGTGCAAAAAAGGGAAAGGAAAAATATAAAATTATACACCCATATACCATTATTTCCTTGCTACTATTTTTTTATTATTAAGGGTAAAAAGGTGATTTAGTTAATAGGGATACTATAACGTAATCGTTCAAACAAGCTTACGATTCTACAAAATATAGGAAAAAAAAATGCAGTTCAGAAATTAAAATGTGTATAGAGGAAATTACAATTTTGCCTAATTTTCAGTTAAAATGACACTTAATCTATTTTAATTGTTTGTTTTTTAAAAAAAGTTATTATTTTAGTTGGAATACACGGTTTGTACGAGTATAGATTAAAAAATATACTTGTAGTGCTTACTAAAAGTTACAAATAATATTTCAAAGAAACAAACGTGTTTTCAATTTTTTTATTATTATTAAAGATTCACTTCTCTCTTTCGTCATTTTACCGCGGAAAAAATAGTTAGTATCTACTATTATTATTGTTTATATAACATAAACTGTCGTATTTGGCATGCACAATTGTTTCAACTCTCCACGTCCCTCTCATCCTCGTCAACTACACAGCATTGGGTTGGTAACCTTTTTCTGCTTGTCTTAATTTTTTTATCTTTATAATATATACACACTCACAAGTTGACAATAGAAAAATTACAAACCGTCTGAACAAGCTCAACATAAAATAAACCATCCAATAAATATTTCTCTAATTTTAATTTAATTTTCCTAATGTTTATTTTTTTCCAACCCCTTAAACTATAATTCGACCACCAAATCAGAAAAATAGTTTAATGTATCACGTTCACTTTTCCTGCCACGTTTATGCAGCCATGGAAAATACAAAGTTTGTCTTATTTCACCAAACCATGTGTTCATCGCTATCTAAACATGTTTGACCCACTTGTCGTGTTTAGTGATTAGATCAAAACTTCACAAGCCAAATCAGCTCGGATTAACACGAAGTTATTTTATTTTTAACTTTTGGTTTGACTCAATATGAGTAACTTACAGAAGGAGATACCTTTTTTCTGAAAGTTTTTGAAGGATTAAAGTGCTGAAATTCAAATGACTCGAAAGTCGAACGTTTGTTTGATACGAAGAAGAAGAAAAAAGCCGTCTGCGTTATTTGCATATGTTAGGAAGGAGACATTAAAAGTGACATATTGTGAGTTAAATGCGTGTTTATGTTGTTGTCACCCAAAAACGGTGTGTTTCGTTTGTCTTTCCTATGTTATCAGTCACAGCGATTTTATTTGACCAACCATTTCAGTATCTTACTCTCCCACCTTTATTGACAATGTCAAAAACAAGCTAACCTTCACACGTCTGTGATAACTTACGGTTTTCTCTGCCAAATTTCCTTTGGCGGATATAAATACGACACAGTCCCTCCTGATTCCAACAATTTTTTCTTCACATCTCGCAGATTTGAATCCATGGAGAAAGAGAATAAACAGTCAAAGCTGAAGAGCAGGATCTTGAAGATACTGCCAAAAGCTGCAGCGGCAGTCACATTCCAAAACCTTCCCTTCAGCCCTGGCCGGGATCACAAGTTCAAGAGCCATGGCGGAAAAGGCTTCTTCTCTGGCCCCATGATTCCCGACGAGGCTAGAAGAAAACCCAGGGATGGCGGCGTCGAAACTCAAGAGCCCACATCGCCCAAAATCTCCTGCATGGGGCAGATCAAGCACAAGAAAAAGCACATTAAAAAGGGAGGGCCGAAGACCATGTCGATGCCCACACGCGCTGCAGAAACCGCGGATTCCACCACTCCCAGAGACGCCACGGAGGAAAAGAAACGGGCTTCGAAGTTTCAGAGGATGTTGTTCAACACGGGGAAACCGAAACCTGCGGCGAGGAAAAAATCTGATGCGGGCGACGACAGAGCGCCGCCGGTGGGTCACATGAGGCGATTTGCAAGTGGGCGTGAGACTTTTTCGAATTTCGATTGGAAGGCCCAGATTGCGCCTGATGAAAGGGATTGCTATTCGGACAACGATGATAGAGTGGAGAGCGATGCAGAGGACGAGGTGGTAATCCCTTTCTCTGCTCCTCTGACGGCCGGTGGTGCTCCCATGCTGAGTGTGCAGCCTCGGAAAGAAATTAACCTGTGGAAGAGAAGAACAATGGAAGCACCTAGGCCTCTTCAGTTGAATCCTGTGCTTACTGCCAAATGATTCTTTGCTTATTCAGATTTTTAGGTTTCTTTTTATTCATTTCTTTCATTCTCTAAACAAACACTGTTCTTGGTGTTCATGAACATGTATTTTGTTTCCTTCTTCTTCCATCGTTGTGTATAGAAAAGATGGTTAATCATAAATCATGGTATAGCGGTCACGATTCATTTGATTTATCTTACCTATTCTATTTACTTTCTGTACGAAGAAAATATGTATAAAAAATTATATATTCAAAGTGGTTGCTGGGAAAATTTCAAAACAACAAAATTAATGAAAGAAAAAAAAAAGTGTTCAAGGTTAGATAGTTGATGGAAGGAAGGAAGGGGTTGGTGGTTGTATTTTCTTAAATATGTCCACCGACACTTTCGATAATAACTCCTTTATTTTTTATTTTCACTTGATTATTTTCAGAAAATTAATATATAATTTGTAAACATTTATTTCTTCGCTGGTAGTTATTTAAATATCAGGAGGCACGTGAATTTGTAATTGATGAAAGAGGAAATTATTGTGATTTTAAATTAAGATGATAGAAATAAGTACAATTAGGTTTTCTTTTTAATTTGAGGAGCCAGTTTGACCAACTATTATATTTTAAAAGATGAAAGTGATTGTTAATGGGCAATCTAGATACTATTCTATTAATTTTATAGACTAACTAGATTGATTGTTATAATTTCAAGATGTAAATTGCCAAATCTGAAATATTGTTTGATTAGTTTCTGCTGTCAAATCATTTCATGTTTATTCTACTTCCATTTGGTTGAATGTGTGGCTGCTAAGGTTTTCAAACCTGAGATTCTTTTTCTTGAATACCAAACTATCAAAGTACAATTTATTCATTGTTAAAATAAAAGAGGAAAATAATATAAAAAATTAGTTTTCCTTTCTATTTTTTCTAACATTAAAATAATATAAAAGAAAAGAAATAGATTTTAAGTTCCTTTTATGCTGTAAAAAATAAATATCACAGTATATTTCTTACACCTTTAAATTAAAAAAACTATCATGTCTAATAGTTTCCCACAGTACAAACTTCCTTAAACATTTCATTAAAAAGGAATCCTTGTTTTCCTTACACTTCAATATAGGAACATCGTAAAAATAAGTAAAAGATAAAAAAAAAGACTGTACATGTCTTTATAAACTTTACATTTTAAATTGCCTTCTAACTTTATAGTACGTTTTTTTTAACTAATTCTACTAATTATATTAAATTAAAAAATTTAATCAAATTAGTTATCTTTAATTTTACGAAGACATTAAATTTTTATCAAAGTTCTATATTAGCTTGATACTGAAAATAAAGTTGATTAGAAGAAAATAGTTAAAAGAAAAAACTTTATTCGTACATTCATTTATTTATTTGAGAAGTAATCATCCCCAAAACTCATTAATGGTAAGTTTTCTATAGAACTTATACTATTAAAAATACATTATTATTATTTAAATAAATCATTTATTTTGATTTTGATTTTGTTGATCTTACGTATAATTAATAATTTTAAACACTATCATTCGATATTAATATTAAAATATTAATTTGATGTGTTGAATTTAAATTATGTTTGTAATATGAAGAATACAAAAATACTCTATTAAAAAACATCTAATAGTATTAAGTTTAGGTAAATCATTTATCATATAGTACCTGTATTAGAAGATGTTTTATTAATTATTTTAGCGTTTTTTTTTTGTTATTCCTTTTCCTTAGTTCTATTGTATTTTTTTTATTAATTTAATGAAAAATAAATAAACAGTGTGTTGGGAGGGACAAAGAGCGAAGAGAAATGGTAGGAAAGGTGCAAGAATGGCGATGCGTTTGGAATTGGATTCATCGCCGGAATTGGAGATGCAGTCAGCAGCGTCTCTTGCACGAAGGCCCAGACACCGTAGAGGAGCTTCTCGACAGGCACCTCGTCAAAACCAAAAACAAAAACAAAAACGATAACGACGAGTTCGAGAATCGGAGGCAACTCACCAGCACTCGCCGCGAAGCGCTCAGTTTGTACCGTGACATTCTTCGGGCCACCCGATTCTTCATGTGGCCCGATTCCAGAGGCGTCATCTGGCGCGACGTACTCAGACAAAATGCCCGTACAGAATTCGAACAGGCCCGCTTCGAAACCGACCCGGAAATCGTTACACGACTGCTTATCGGGGGACGCGAAGCCCTAAACTCCGCTATCGACAAGCTCGCCGAGAAGCATAGACATAACATTCAGAAAGATAATCCCTCTGATTCCCATCCACGCTGATTCATAAGGTAATCAAGTTACGCATTTTTTCACTTGCGAATTCCTTTGAATTTCTGTCAATTTATTGTACCTTAATTACCAGGTGTTGTAGGATTAAAGATGTTATGTTAGTTTTTTTAGCACGTAATATTGTATTGTTCATTCCGTATTGAATTTTGTCATGGATCAAAAAGGATCCCCTTTCGTAGCATCTAATAAGCACGGGTGAAAATTTGCTTCCTTGGCCCAATACTTGATGTGATTGTTTATGTACCAAATTTTCCTTGTTTACAAATGTTTTTGAAAGGTGAAACTGTATTCATGTTTGCTCCCAATACAGTTTTAATTGGATTGATGAGGATTCCTTACTTTGAACTGTTTCTGGAGCTTGACAACTATTCATTTAGTTATCGTGTTGATTGTTCATGTAGACCGCTGCTAATTCAAAGTGGTGTAAATTTGAAATTCCAGGTCTTGAAAGTGAAGGACTGGATTCAATCAATCATTTTGTGATATGTTTTCAGTGGAAGAACAAAATTAAACAAGCCTCTCTCTACTATCTTCACACTTGGCATTTTTTTGGCCAGAGCCCGTTGTTCATTACGAATTCTGTGGTTAAATCATTAAAATTCATTGCCAGACACCAATCGCTGCATCCTTGGTGTTTGACATTGTTCTTTCTGACAGGGTTCTTACTTGTATGGCATGAGCATTCGTGATTATGTAAGAGTTATTTGAATGAGTAGTACATTTTGATATGCTTTGTAGTCAGTATGGAGTATGTGTGTTTCTTTTTTAAAAAGTTAAGTATTGACAGATATAACTTTGCATTTCACTTTTGAAATGCCCAAGTAACTGGGATTGAATTAAGGAACGTGTTAGGATTAGGAACATTTATTCTAGTAATATTAGATCTTGCGATTAGTTGAGTAAGTATAGTAAAAATTGTCTAAGGTAGGTTTTGTTTGATTAAATTTATTTACTGATGCTTGTTAAGTGTAGGGATTGGATTAGGGAAGGACCTGTTGTTCAGGCATTGAAACAAAAGTCTATTGATGTGGAATATCAGTTCAACCACGCAGCTGCTGAACTCGCATACTAGAAAATTTGTTGACAAGTTCTGATAACAAGTTTATCGTGTATATAAAAAACATGTTGTATATAAAATTATCTGTGTAATAACATTACTAATGTGTTTGAAATGACTGTGGGAGTTTTGCTTTTGTCTTATAGAGAATACGGTAATTTGGAATTAGACTGTAGTAGTGCGTTTAGCTGATCTTATCGTTTGTCATAGTTATTCAGCATTCGTTTCTCATCATGCTCATAAATTCCTCATAGTTAATTTTCCCATCCTGCAAAATCAAAACCAACTCTACTGTTAGTCACAATTTCACATGAAGAGCAGACATAGGAGAAAATAACTCTACAACACACTTTGTCAGAGTCTACATCCTCGAAGACTCCATCTATCGTAGCTTCATCTCCCATTTGGTGTACAGTGATAGCTTCCCTAAGTTCATCTCTCGTTATATAACTACTCAAGTGGAAAAATTATTTCAATCAATGAAGAATTAGTAAGATTCAAAACTACAAAATAGACGAAAATCTTGTATCTGTATTTGTGTACCAGAAAATACAGATTTATAAAGCTTATAAAATTAATGAACTGAAGACTAACCCCTTGTCATCCTTGTCAAAGTAATGAAAAGCCTTGAACAAACTCCCCCCCATCTCCAGTCTGTGTCGATCCATGGTGGCAGCAACGAATTCATAATAGTTAATTGTTCCATTCTTGTCATTACCAATCTGACAGTGCACGTGATGAAGAAAGAGCATATAACACAGTTTAGTCTTGCTTAATAAATAGAGAAAAAGCTTAAATATTTCTTTTCTCATTACCATGAACTGAACTTACAGCATTCAATAGCTGCCTTATTTCAGATTCACTAGGCAGGGAACCCAATCTGGATAATCCAGATTTGAGTTCTTCAAATGTGATAGTGCCACTGCCATCAGTATCCATATTGTTGAACATTTGTCTGGGGCCCTTTGTTTCTTCCTCTGAAAGATTTTCTGCTATTACCTTCCATGTTCAGAAATAACAAATTCTATTAGTTAAAGTGTATTTTACCTCATTTTTGTCGTACCAAGAAAGTGTAACACGATTTTTTATAATGAAACTTTCACTTTGCGTGGTATTTGATAATTTATTTGATTAAATTTGATGCACAGCTGAAAAATTTGACGGACCTTCATTGCAAGCTTCTTCATCTGGTTCATTGCTTTGAACTTTTCCATCCTACTTAAAACAGCACTGTCTGGATGCTTTTCTGATGCTTGACCACCTTCTTTCAACCATGGATGTTCTGGTTCAAACACATAATGTGATTTACTTGAATATTTAAAGTTGGTAATCCTGTTTGTGAATTAACATGTGTAACTGAGAGATAATAGTTAAAACTCTGCGTTGCTTATTACAAAAGAGTTACGGTGTGTGGAAAGGGGTGATGAAAGCATCGATCACTGTTATCTGAAACTAGTAAAACTATCAAAACAATAACACAAATTTACCAAGGGCCTCAGCAGCTGTAATCCGTTCCTTAGGGTCATAAGTAAGCATTTTTCTGATCAGATCTTTTGCAGCGTCTGATGTAGAAGGCCATGGCTCGCTATCCATATCTAACTTAACACCCAAAACGTCATCAAACACGCCTTTCTCGGTTTCTGAAATTCACAAACAAGTCACTAAATCAAGAAAAAAACAGCTAAAACTACATATGCTTATGTACTAATCAACGTTTCAGAAAGCTGCTAACGTATTAATGATTTGAAATTTAGTTCAGAATCATAAAGTCATGAACCAGAGTTAACAAATAGGAAACAAAGACTTGCATAATTTTATAATCTTTAATAAATTTCTGTCAATGACAGAAATGATATAAAAAAACCGTGTTAAGAATCGTACAACCTATTAAGTGTTAGACAATAAACATGCAACAATGCAATGACGTCTACATTTCTTATTTGATCCTTTAGTTTCTGAATCATAGACAAGGCTAGCTACTGCAACAATTGTTCTGGTTCTTCTGCCACCTGCAATAAGCCACATATGACATCCTTCAACGGATGTCAACATCCGTTTAAGGAGAAACGGATGTCGACATCCGTTTTGCCTTAAACGGATGTTGACATCCGTTGAAGGATGTCATCCGTCCAGGCAGCGTTGCTTTTTCGTTTCGTTTTTATTTTATTTGTTTATTTTATTTACAGTAATTTATATTTAAATTTATAATTTTAAATGTTATATATGATAAACGGAAATGGAGAAATGGAGAAATGGAGAAGAAGCTTTACGGAAGAGAAAATGATAAACGAAAATGGAGAAATGGAGAAGAAGCTTTACGGAAGAGAGAAAGATAAACGGAAATGGAAGAGAGGAAGAGGTGCAGAGAAGTAAATCAGAAGTTTTAAATAAATTAAAATATTAAAATAATAAAAATAAAAAATTTTAACTTTTGAGGATATAATTGTCATTTTAGAAGGATATAATTGGCATTTTAGAAAATTGGGGAGGTGGAGGAAGAGATGTGTGGGGGTGGAGGGAGCAACTCCCTGTCTATTTCACCAAACCATGTGTTCATCGCTATCTAAACATGTTTGACCCACTTGTCGTGTTTGTGATTAGATCAAAACTTCACAAGCCAAATTCAGCTCGGATAACACGAAGTTATTTTATTTTTAACTTTTGGTTTGACTCAATATGAGTAACTTACAGAAGGAGATACCTTTTTTCTGAAAGTTTTTTGAAGGATTAAAGTGCTGAAATTCAAATGACTCGAAAGTCAAACGTTTTTTTGATACGAAGAAGAGAAAAAAGCCGTCTGCGTTATTTGCATATGTTAGGAAGGAGACATTAAAAGTGACATATTGTGAGTTAAATGCGTGTTTATGTTGTTGTCACCCAAAAACGGTGTGTTTCGTTTGTCTTTCCTATGTTATCAGTCACAGCGATTTTATTTGACCAACCATTTCAGTATCTTACTCTCCCACCTTTATTGACAATGTCAAAAACAAGCTAACCTTCACACGTCTGTGATAACTTACGGTTTTCTCTGCCAAATTTCCTTTGGCGGATATAAATACGACACAGTCCTCCTGATTCCAACAATTTTTTCTTCACATCTCGCAGATTTGAATCCATGGAGAAAGAGAATAAACAGTCAAAGCTGAAGAGCAGGATCTTGAAGATACTGCCAAAAGCTGCAGCGGCAGTCACATTCCAAAACCTTCCCTTCAGCCCTGGCCGGGATCACAAGTTCAAGAGCCATGGCGGAAAAGGCTTCTTCTCTGGCCCCATGATTCCCGACGAGGCTAGAAGAAAACCCAGGGATGGCGGCGTCGAAACTCAAGAGCCCACATCGCCCAAAATCTCCTGCATGGGGCAGATCAAGCACAAGAAAAAGCACATTAAAAAGGGAGGGCCGAAGACCATGTCGATGCCCACACGCGCTGCAGAAACCGCGGATTCCACCACTCCCAGAGACGCCACGGAGGAAAAGAAACGGGCTTCGAAGTTTCAGAGGATGTTGTTCAACACGGGGAAACCGAAACCTGCGGCGAGGAAAAAATCTGATGCGGGCGACGACAGAGCGCCGCCGGTGGGTCACATGAGGCGATTTGCAAGTGGGCGTGAGACTTTTTCGAATTTCGATTGGAAGGCCCAGATTGCGCCTGATGAAAGGGATTGCTATTCGGACAACGATGATAGAGTGGAGAGCGATGCAGAGGACGAGGTGGTAATCCCTTTCTCTGCTCCTCTGACGGCCGGTGGTGCTCCCATGCTGAGTGTGCAGCCTCGGAAAGAAATTAACCTGTGGAAGAGAAGAACAATGGAAGCACCTAGGCCTCTTCAGTTGAATCCTGTGCTTACTGCCAAATGATTCTTTGATTATTCAGATTTTTAGTTTTTCTTTTTCTTCATTTCTTCATTCTCTAAACAAACACTGTTCTTGGGTGTCCTGAACATGTATTTTGTTTCCTTCTTCTTCCATCGTTGTGTATAGAAAAGATGGTTAATCATAATCATGGTATAGCGGTCACGATTCATTTGATTTATCTTACCTATTCATTTCTTCTGTACGAAGAAAATATGTATAAAAAATATATCAAAGTGGTTGCGGGAAAATTTCAAAACAACAAAATTAATGAAAAAAAAAAAAAAGTGTTCAAGGTTAGATAGTTGATGGAAGGAAGGAAGGGGTTGGTGGTTGTATTTTCTTAAATATGTCCACCGACACTTTCGATAATAACTCCTTTATTTTTTATTTTCACTTGATTATTTTCAGAAAATTAATATATAATTTGTAAACATTTATTTCTTCGCTGGTAGTTATTTAAATATCAGGAGGCACGTGAATTTGTAATTGATGAAAGAGGAAATTATTGTGATTTTAAATTAAGATGATAGAAATAAGTACAATTAGGTTTTCTTTTTAATTTGAGGAGCCAGTTTGACCAACTATTATATTTTAAAAGATGAAAGTGATTGTTAATGGGCAATCTAGATACTATTCTATAATTTTATAGACTAACTAGATGATTGTTATAAATTTCAGATGTAAATTGCCAAATCTGAAATATTGTTTGATTAGTTTCTGCTGTGCAAATCATTTCATGTTTATTCTACTTCCGTTTGGTTGAATGTGTGGCTGCTAAGGTTTTCAACCTGAGATTCTTCTTCTTGAATACCAAACTATCAAAGTACAATTTATTCATTGTTTAAAATAAAGAGGAAATAATATAAAAAATTAGTTTTCCTTTCTATTTTTTCTACATTAACATAATATAAAAGAAAAGAAATAGATTTTAAGTTCCTTTTATGCTGTAAAAATAAATACACAGTATATTTCTTACACCTTTAAAATTAAAAAAATATCCATGTCTAATAGTTTCCCACAGTACAAACTTCCTTAAACATTTCATTAAAAAGGAATCCTTGTTTTCCTTACACTTCAATATAGGAACATCGTAAAAATAAGTAAAAGATAAAAAAAAAGACTGTACATGTCTTTATAAACTTTACATTTTAAATTGCCTTCTAACTTTATAGTACGTTTTTTTTAACTAATTCTACTAATTATATTAAATTAAAAAATTTAATCAAATTAGTTATCTTTAATTTTACGAAGACATTAAATTTTTATCAAAGTTCTATATTAGCTTGATACTGAAAATAAAGTTGATTAGAAGAAAATAGTTAAAAGAAAAAACTTTATTCGTACATTCATTTATTTATTTGAGAAGTAATCATCCCCAAAACTCATTAATGGTAAGTTTTCTATAGAACTTATACTATTAAAAATACATTATTATTATTTAAATAAATCATTTATTTTGATTTTGATTTTGTTGATCTTACGTATAATTAATAATTTTAAACACTATCATTCGATATTAATATTAAAATATTAATTTGATGTGTTGAATTTAAATTATGTTTGTAATATGAAGAATACAAAAATACTCTATTAAAAAACATCTAATAGTATTAAGTTTAGGTAAATCATTTATCATATAGTACCTGTATTAGAAGATGTTTTATTAATTATTTTAGCGTTTGTTTTTTGTTATTCCTTTTCCTTAGTTCTATTGTATTTTTTTTATTAATTTAATGAAAAATAAATAAACAGTGTGTTGGGAGGGACAAAGAGCGAAGAGAAATGGTAGGAAAGGTGCAAGAATGGCGATGCGTTTGGAATTGGATTCATCGCCGGAATTGGAGATGCAGTCAGCAGCGTCTCTTGCACGAAGGCCCAGACACCGTAGAGGAGCTTCTCGACAGGCACCTCGTCAAAACCAAAAACAAAAACAAAAACGATAACGACGAGTTCGAGAATCGGAGGCAACTCACCAGCACTCGCCGCGAAGCGCTCAGTTTGTACCGTGACATTCTTCGGGCCACCCGATTCTTCATGTGGCCCGATTCCAGAGGCGTCATCTGGCGCGACGTACTCAGACAAAATGCCCGTACAGAATTCGAACAGGCCCGCTTCGAAACCGACCCGGAAATCGTTAACCCGACTGCTTATCGGGGGACGCGAAGCCCTAAACTCCGCTATCGACAAGCTCGCCGAGAAGCATAGACATAACATTCAGAAAGATAATCCCTCTGATTCCCATCCACGCTGATTCATAAGGTAGTCAGTTACGCATTTTTTCACTTGCGATTCCTTTGAATTTCTGTCAATTTATTGTACCTTAATTACCAGTTTGTTGTAGGATTAAAGATGTTATGTTAGTTTTTTTAGCACGTAATATTGTATTGTTCATTCCGTATTGAATTTTGTCTTGGATCAAAAAGGATCCCCTTTCGTAGCATCTAATAAGCACGGGTGAAAATTTGCTTCCTTGGCCCAATACTTGATGTGATTGTTTATGTACCAAATTTTCCTTGTTTACAAATGTTTTTGAAAGGTGAAACTGTATTCATGTTTGCTCCCAATACAGTTTTAATTGGATTGATGAGGATTCCTTACTTTGAACTGTTTCTGGAGCTTGACAACTATTCATTTAGTTATCGTGTTGATTGTTCATGTAGACCGCTGCTAATTCAAAGTGGTGTAAATTTGAAATTCCAGGTCTTGAAAGTGAAGGACTGGATTCAATCAATCATTTTGTGATATGTTTTCAGTGGAAGAACAAAATTAAACAAGCCTCTCTCTACTATCTTCACACTTGGCATTTTTTTGGCCAGAGCCCGTTGTTCATTACGAATTCTGTGGTTAAATCATTAAAATTCATTGCCAGACACCAATCGCTGCATCCTTGGTGTTTGACATTGTTCTTTCTGACAGGGTTCTTACTTGTATGGCATGAGCATTCGTGATTATGTAAGAGTTATTTGAATGAGTAGTACATTTTGATATGCTTTGTAGTCAGTATGGAGTATGTGTGTTTCTTTTTTAAAAAGTTAAGTATTGACAGATATAACTTTGCATTTCACTTTTGAAATGCCCAAGTAACTGGGATTGAATTAAGGAACGTGTTAGGATTAGGACATTTTTTCAGTAATATTAGATCTTGCGATTAGTTGAGTAAGTATAGTAAAAATTGTCTAAGGTAGGTTTTGTTTGATTAAATTTATTTACTGATGCTTGTTAAGTGTAGGGATTGGATTAGGGAAGGACCTGTTGTTCAGGCATTGAAACAAAAGTCTATTGATGTGGAATATCAGTTCAACCACGCAGCTGCTGAACTCGCATACTAGAAAATTTGTTGACAAGTTCTGATAACAAGTTTATCGTGTATATAAAAAACATGTTGTATATAAAATTATCTGTGTAATAACATTACTAATGTGTTTGAAATGACTGTGGGAGTTTTGCTTTTGTCTTATAGAGAATACGGTAATTTTGAATTAGACTGTAGTAGTGCGTTTAGCTGATCTTATCGTTTGTCATAGTTATTCAGCATTCGTTTCTCATCATGCTCATAAATTCCTCATATTTAATTTCCCATCCTGCAAAATCAAAACCAACTCTACTGTTAGTCACAATTTCACATGAAGAGCAGACATAGAGAAAATAACTCTACAACACACTTTGTCAGAGTCTACATCCTCGAAGACTCCATCTATCGTAGCTTCATCTCCCATTTGGTGTACAGTGATAGCTTCCCTAAGTTCATCTCTCGTTATATAACTACTCAAGTGGAAAAATTATTTCAATCAATGAAGAATTAGTAAGATTCAAAACTACAAAATAGACGAAAATCTTGTATCTGTATTTGTGTACCAGAAAATACAGATTTATAAAGCTTATAAAATTAATGAACTGAAGACTAACCCCTTGTCATCCTTGTCAAAGTAATGAAAAGCCTTGAACAAACTCCCCCCCATCTCCAGTCTGTGTCGATCCATGGTGGCAGCAACGAATTCATAATAGTTAATTGTTCCATTCTTGTCATTACCAATCTGACAGTGCACGTGATGAAGAAAGAGCATATCCACAGTTTAGTCTTGCTTAATAAATAGAGAAAAAGCTTAAATATTCTTTTCTCATTACCATGAACTGAACTTACAGCATTCAATAGCTGCCTTATTTCAGATTCACTAGGCATGGAACCCAATCTGGATAATCCAATTTGAGTTCTTCAAATGTGATAGTGCCACTGCCATCAGTATCCATATTGTTGAACATTTGTCTGGGGCCCTTTGTTTCTTCTCTCTGAAAGATTTTCTGCTATTACCTTCCATGTTCAGAAATAACAAATTCTATTAGTTAAAGTGTATTTTACCTCATTTTTGTCGTACCAAAAGTGTAACACGATTTTTTATAATGAAACTTTCACTTTGGCGTGGGTATTTGATATTTATTTGATTAATTGGATGCACAACTGAAAAATTTGACGACCTTCATTGCAAGCTTCTTCATCTGGTTCATTGCTTTAAACTTTTCCACCTACTTAAAACAGCACTGTCGAATGCTTTTCTGATGCTTCACCACCTTCTTTCAACCATGATGTTCTGGTTCAAACACATAATGTGATTTACTTGAATATTTAAGTTGGTAACCCGTTTGTTAATTAACATGTGTACTGAGAGATAATAGTTAAAACTCTGCGTTGCTTATTACAAAAGACTTCTGGTGTGTGGAAAGGGGTGATGAAAGCATCGATCACTGTTATCTGAAACTAGTAAAACTACAAAAACACATAACACAAATTTACCAAGGGCCTCAGCAGCTGTAATCCGTTCCTTAGGGTCATAAGTAAGCATTTTTCTGATCAATCTTTTGCAGCGTCTGATGTAAAGGCCATGGCTCGCTATCCATATCTAACTTAACACCCAAAACATCATCAAACACGCCTTTCTCGGTTCTGAATCCCACAAACAAGTCACTAAATCAAGAAAAAAACAGCTAAAAACTACATATGCTTATGTACTAATCAACGTTTCAGAAAGCTGCTAACGTATTAATGATTTGAAATTTAGTTCAGAATCATAAAGTCATGAACCAAGTTAAAAATGTTTTAAATTTTCTTTAAATGGTAACAAAGTACTTGCATAATTTTATAATCTTAATAAATTTCTGTCAATGACAGAAATGATATAAAAAACCGTGTTAAGAATCGTACAACCTATTAAGTGTTAGACAATAAACATGCAACAATGCAATGACGTCTACATTTCTTATTTGATCCTTTAGTTTCTGAATCATAAACAAGGCTAGCTACTACAACAATTGCTCTAAATGATGATTTATNACAATTGTTCTAAATGATGATTTAAATTTCTTCGTGCTACTGTGAACCAAAACTGAGTGATGCGTGCATTTTACTTACCAGCCCAAAATGGAGGCACCCCACTTAAGAGAATGTATAAAATGACTCCTGCATTCCAAACATCTATCTCCTTTCCGTAATTTCGTTTCAAAACCTCAGGAGCCATGTAATATGCATTTCCAACAATATCTTTATACACCTCACCTGTACAATCATTTAGCATTATCAAATAATTAGACTAAGAAAAAGTTCTGATAATAAAGAACGAAGAGGATGAATGTGCATGAAAGGTGTAATAACCAATGTGAAAGAAGACAGAGGATCCAAAATCCGTGAGTTTCAAAGGGGCATCCTCGTCCTTGGTGGCGAACAAGAAATTCTCTGGCTTGAGGTCTCGATGCATCACACCCATGAAATGACACACGTCGACCACCTTAACAATCTGTCTCATAACAGAGGCTGCTTCACGCTCCGAGTGTCTGCCTTTTGCAACAATACGGTCAAAGAGTTCACCTCCACTGCACAAATCCATCACCAGATGCACGTTCTCCCTATCCTCGTAAGCTCCCTTGAAATCCACTATGTTATGTTGCCCTGAAAGATGCTGCAGAATCATAACTTCTCTTCTAACATTCTCAACTTCTTGCGGACCCTTCTTTGCTATGGATTTGCATGCATAAGAAATTCCTGTGGCCTTCTCTACACACAGATAAGTCACGCCAAACTTGCCTCTTCCCAGCTCTTGCTTCATCTCGTACGTGTGCTTTATTTTAACGTAAGGCTTCCCAAGAACAGGTCCTGTCTGTGAAGAACATTGGGTTGGCATGGGAGGAGGAACAAGAGAACGTGGAAAAGGCAGGTTTTTCCTAGGTTGTTTGTAGGTGAGTTGAGGAGCAGAATCTGTCGAAGAAATTGGAATTTCATCGTCTGTTGTGTGTGTTAACACCTTTGAGAATCCCACTCCCATGACTCTCTCTTTCTCCCAGGCAAACTGAAGCTGTTTCTGCCTTACAAGTTCTTTTCTGTAACGTGATTATTTGGCATTTCCACTTTCTGCTTTTCTTCTTTACTTCCATCAGTGGCAAGAATATCAGCATCCCTTCCCGTCTGGATAATCAATCAGTTCTAGCAAAACCAATGAATGATACTTTTTTTACATGTTAAAATTAAATTATACACTTTTTTATATTTTATGAAAATTTTAATTTTTATATTTTTTGTGAATAGTATTGAAATTTTTATTTAAATATGATCTAAGTATCCTGAGTCTCTTTTAAAATTTTAAACCTTTCTATATTTGTTGCCTAGTTTTATAGGAAATGTGTTTAATAATTCAAAATAGAAATAGCTAAAAATAATAAGTGTCATGTTAAATTTGTCATAATTTAAAAAAGAAAAATAGTATTCCTGTTTTTTTTGTTAGTTATAAAGAGTAATGGATATGACACACTTTTACGTTTATTTGAAAAATATAATGATAAAATAGCCATAAAAGTATAAATTTCATATTTTGTTAAAAAACAAGAGAGTAAAAAATAATGAAAAATAGTGTAAATAAATATAAAAAATTTAGTGTATAAAAAAGAATCATTTTTCATGTATAAATATCAACAAGAATTGAATAGGTAAAGTTAACATATTTAATGTTTTAAAATTTTCTCCATTATTTTAACTTTCCTTTCTACTCAGTTTACTATATTATTTTCACCTACAAATAACATTAATACTCTACTATAAGTATATCTTATAATTACATATAAGGATATGATTGTTAAAAAAAAAGCTGCATACATACATGTTGAAATTCTAAACATTAAAAAAAAACTGAATCAAGAAAAGTTTTAAAACTTTTAAAACATTTTTTTTCTAAATATTTCTCGTACCAAATAACAATGATAAAGTTATCAATAGCAGGAACGCCTTTGGATTATAGTTTTATTTATTTTGCACATATTGCAGTTTATTCAATAGAAGCTTTACAAAGTTTGGCATAGAGTGGGAATGCCATGAAGAAAATACACACATTCAAAGGTGATTCAATCATAGCACGCAAGCAGCAACAGCAAGAAAAATCCGAAACCGGTTTGTTTGATGGCACACACAACACAAAACAGTTTACGTGGTTTCTCCTTCTCATCAATATCCAAATCCCCTTTCTCATCATTGCCACAAACTCCTGGTAATTTATTTTCCCATCCTGCAAATGGAAACCTCAACCATTAGTCCATACCATTACATCATAAAACACAACCTTTTAACTAACCTATGTAAGAACATCATACGTTATCAGTATCCACTCATCGATCACTTCATCTATAGTTGCCTCATCTCCCATCTGATATTCGTCAATGCTTGTCTAAGCTCTTCTCTTGTTATATATCTGAGCAAACTCAGCAAAAACCATTGAAAATACACAATTCAAATACACTACTAATGTACTAAATTAAACATATCAAACTAATGAACTTCGTACTGACCCACTGTTGTCCTTGTCAAAGTATTGAAAAGCCTTTACAGATTCTCTTCCTTCTCCAGTTTATGCCGGTTTATAGTGGCAGTGATGAATTCTTGATAGTCAATAGTTCCACTCTTGTCAACATCAGCCTGAGATGGAAAAATTATATGTATCATTGCTTATAATATCTTGGTGTATAAGAAAAAGTATTTTGTAAAGATTAATTCGGACGAGACTGAACTTACAGCTTCCATTAGCTGCTTTATTTCATGTTCACTAAGCTTGGAACCCAATTTGGTCAATCCAGATTTGAGTTCTTCGTATGTGATTGTGCCACTGCGATCAGTGTCCATATTGTTGAACATTTGTTTCAAGCCCTTGATTTCCTCCTCTGAAAGGTTTTCTGCTATAACCTTTCATATAAAAAACAAGCAAATTCTATTACTAGAACAATATTCACTTCTATTTTCTACCTTCTCATACCATTTTTGTTATGTCAAGCAAGTGTAACAGATTTTTATTCTGAAGTTTTTAATTAACTCTCCACTTCCACTCACTCAACTGACCACATTCAACAGTAGTTACATTTTTGCAAGGCATTTGTATTTATATATTTGATTCAAATTTAATGCACTACTGAAAAATTTGAGGTACCTTTAGAGCAAGTTTCTTCATCTTGTTCATTGCTCTGAACTGTTTCATCCTAGTTAAAACAGCATTGTCTATAGGTTTGTCAGACGCTTCACCGCCCTCCTTCATCCACGGGTGTTCTGGTTCAGATGAGAAATGTCGATGCTTTTGTATTGAGTTTGGATGGAATACATACTTGAAAAACCATCAGAATGCGTGTGGCTAAAACGTAAAATGCAGCAGTGACATACTTACCAAGGGCTTCGGCAGCGTAATGCGTTTCCTAGGGTCTGTTTCAACATTTTTCTGATCAGATCCTTTGCAGCAGTTGAAATAGAAGGCCATGGTGCGCTCTCCAGATCAAGCTTGCCTTCCAAAATTGCATCAAATATCCCCTTCTCCGTTTCTAAAATTGTCCCACAGATAATGTTACCGACCATGAAC